ACTAAATAAAGGAGCTTAAACTGTACCAACTGTGCCAACTGTTTATCTTGACACTTTGAACCGCTTAAACCGCGGTTTTATGTCTTGGCATGCTCACCATGATAAAATTGCTCATCACGTTCACAAACAGGGTGTTCGAGCTTTGGAACTAATGTGTTCGACCTCAGGAACTAGGGTGTTCGAGCTCATGAACATGAATTGTATAAACCATTTAAACAGGTGGTATAACCGGTTTTGCATATTTCTAAACTGTTCAAACCATGTATTCAGGGCGATAAGAACCCCACCAATCTTTATGTTAAACGGTTCAGTTAAACTAGTTTGAACCATATAACCGGTAAACCACTGGAAACCCTGGCCTCGTTCTCTGCTTTTTCTTTATATTGTTTAGCATTTAGCGCCCTGGCCTCGCTGATTCAGGGCACATACCTACTCTCTCGAACATTATAGGGTAATATTATACTTACCCATAGTCGAGATATCCTCTCCGAAATCTAGGCTCCCATCAGATGGAATTGGCACAGTTGGAAGGGGACGGGGGGTGATAAAATTTCTTTTTGCCCGCGATTTCTTTGACGTGGAGTCAGTTGGTGGAGCATGCCGAAACTGTGGTTCAAGAGCGTCCCGGTAGACGCATCATACTTCTGCGATCATCTCTCCTCGAGTATTTTTCAGTTTGCCTCTCAATACCCATGTGGCGATCACGGCTACTAGCGCTGAAAACTCAGCCTTGTAGCTCCGGCGGCCCGCCTCGCATGCAAGCATTTTAACCCCGCCTCGCACTACTTACTTTAAAGCTAGCTATGTATCATCAAGTTTTGATCGCCACATGCTTCGTACCATTGGCGACTCAAGGACACGTCGAGTTTGTTGGAATGTCATTTCTTTTTCCCTAGCCCCGGTGTGCTGCAGGCTGTACTATCCCCTGGGTGGACTAAATCTCTCTCATGCGCACATATGTATTATCCCTTAGTCTGGCAATGCTGACCCCCCTATAATAGAGGAATTAAATTTGTATGGGAGATCTATTATTTGATAAGAGAGACAACAGGATCTGTTAGTAAAGCCACACAAAAGTTTGCTTTTTTTGGGGGGGTCAGCATTTTTTGCCAGACGAAGGGATAAACGTCAGGGTTAGCTGCTTACAGTCACTCACTGGGTGAAGGCGGATCCTGTCTGATGGCGGTCAGGGATTTGAGGCCAATAAAAGAGTTAGGTTTTGGACGCCAAGGGCAGACAGGATCCGCCGTCAGTAGGTGAGCGACTGTACCAGTCTGTGAAGTACATATGTACGTCGAGGTGCCATGAACTTCGCACGTGGCTGCATTATTTTGGTCAATCAATTCCTAGATAGGACACGCTAATGCATGAGAGAAATTTCGTCCACCCAGGGGATGTACTCGCGTGTAGCATAACGAACCAGAAAATGCAAGCGACGAAGCGCCGATTTTTTTGTATGGAGTAGCGCTGATCTGCCATACAAAATACTCGTTTACGTTTTTTAGTTCTTTCCCTACACGCGAGTAAGAATAACGTGAAAATGATATTTGATACCCGAGGCAGGTAAGGACAACCTGAGCATGATATTTGATACTATACTCGGAGCAGGTAAGAAGATCTCAAAAATGACATTTGGCTGTGCTCCCGCTTGCAACTTTCATCCTCGGGTGGTTCCTGCCTGTCCCGAGTAGAATCTCACCGTCGCTCGATCGGTTAAACATGTTAGGTGCTTATTGTATTGCCAAGCACTGTTACTCTTTTATCATTCAAACCTTTCCTTCACATCCAGAGCAAGGTTTACGAGTCAGTCGGACAGTGACATCGTGTATTGTACTAGAAGGTAGATTACCGTGAAATATGAATACGTGTACGATAAAACCTCATTTACAGACATGTCCAACGCCATAGCCCATCCACAGGGATTCGTAACCAATAAGAGGAGGTAGAGGCCATGAACTACACTCAAACTGGCACTGAGCGCGCATGCTCCGTCCCCACAAGCTGTTTGCTTCTGGCTATTAGCCCGAAGTTGAACAGTTCTCGAATATTCCTTATAGTTTTGCAGAACGAGGCGCATAGTAGACGCGTGAGATGTTCCACACTCGAAACCCTGCAGACATGTCCGCCTACTCTCCTCGAACAGCTCGAGACTCAGGTAAGCATACAATTTTTACTAATATCTTCCATGAAATGATCAACCTAACACTATTCTCACATCACAATGGACGTCGTAGAAAAAGCGTTGTATCTATCGGCGATATAGGGCCTACCCGGTTGACCACAAATACTGCGGCACTAAGCCAAATTACGATAGTATTCTTGACACCATAATATTTGAGTGTTCGGTTGAACAAACGTCTGTAAAGATACCATGAAATTCAGTTAAATACCATGGTACTAATAAATATCTGCGCCGAGGACAGCTAACGCTTGGATCTCAACCCTCTGGGGTGTACAACATCATCTCTAGAGTTTTCGTTTTTGTTTAATTCATTAATCATCATCTCCAGAGTACAATTGCAACGAGAACCCCGATCACGTCTGACCAATACTCCTATCCCTGTAATAGTTATCAATTGCAGTAACCATTGGTGAATGTTATAATTCCCATTCTCTGCTCTCTTTCCTTTCCAAACGTTGTTAATCAGAGCATCAATAAGTGCCTTCTCAATTTGATCAGACTATTAGGCACAGGCTAAAAGTGTGAGAATGTGTCGATCGTTGTTGTGGTGGCGATCTGGGTAGGGGTATTACTTGTTCGTGGGAAACGTTGGTCACACTGATTTTACATTCTACCGAACACTTCAATGTTACGACAATACTCATTTTTGTTTTAGGAATGAAATACCACGCCCAACCGAACGGGCCCATATATATTCGTTACATCGCTGCGTATAGGGTTCTTGGTATATCATGGGTGGCTCTAGGAAGCCGATCGATACTTCATACAATTCCGAGTTAGGCTACAATGAGTCCTCTCGGCTCATCAAGGCCTTTATATCCGTTTGCTTTGAGCGACAATGTGAAATATCCTTGTCTTATTTACGTCCGACGCCATCACACTCCCGAAGCATAAACACTCCCAATACCACGCCCCACAGCAGGCAGGCCATAGATCATTTTTCCTTTTATAAGAAGGTAGGAAAGATCTCCATCAATTTGTTTGGACTAGAAACCAATTTTTCTCACCTATAGTCTGTGGATATGACAAGTACCATTTGGCACTCTCTTGAGGAATCCTTCTCTCCAACTGCGGAACTATAAACCTCACAGCAGCCACAACAGCATCAAAACATTGCCTCTTATCCTCCGGAAAGAGTCAATTGATCTTACTTGAAAGCTGGGGCCGCTCTAGTCCATATATGGTTGGACATTTTCGCAAGATTCCAATCTGGTGGCTCACCATATCAGAAGACTCAGACAAGGGTTGAAGACCTCCGCTGTTTGAGTTCTTTGGAGATGCCCAGGCCGTTTTGGGACTTCCAATGTGGCGTGAGATACGTTAATAATTTAGGAGATTATACTTCTATCGTATTAATGCATGGTAAAGATCTAGCTCCCGGACCTCCTTCTGAGAGGTCTTGAGTTGAATCCTAGGCGAGTGATATTGCCTGACGAACCCCGGTAACCGGCGGACATTGGAGGTCCCCCGTCGCCTTTACCTACATGTAGGTACGAGAGACCTTGTGCTGCTCTCTAGACTTATCAACAGCCCGAACATTAAACATTTTAAACGACTTCAGATTTACTCATGGCACATTGAAACTCCTCAGATGCCACTGTCGTTTCTTAATTTTTCAAACGGCGATGTTTTTGGATTCCCCGCGGTGGCGGAACCGTCCCATATGGCGACCCGCCATATCGGAATCTCTGAGAAGCCATTGGCAAATGCTCAAACTATAACTAAGCAAGGATTGGGCCCTGACTAAACTGATTCCCGGCACTAGCGTCATGCAGTACCCCTGTTTATGCGTAAATATTTACGCACTGAGGTCTATTTCTTCCACTTATGCAGTCCTGGCGTCTTGAAATTGCACGGAGAGGTATTACTAATTGTCTACATAGTCTAACCAGCGAACCTGCGTCTATCCAGCGAGATTCTGAGTTTGTCCGCCGACCAAACTTGAGATATTGTGGCTCACTGGAATCCATCACGTGGATATTTTTGAGGGTTTGTAGGCGTTCAAATGCAATCTGTAGACCCCCCCAGGGGGGGTCTACAAACATTACTCATCTCACAACATCCTCTAAAGCTACCGAAAAAACTAGCAGTTCACTATTGGCCATTGACGATATAGATATGATATTTTGGGACTTTATTTTTTCCTCTCTTTTGAATAAGGAAATTTTATGTGCATTGGACTTGTTTTACACAATTTCATGTGGTGAGCCGTTGCTACGTGGAATCAGTAATTTATCTCTAAGGTTTCAGATTTGAACAACTTCAGAATATCCACGGGATGGATTCCACTGGCTCGCTAGACCATGCGACGAAATCACCGAAGCTTCCACATCAGATTGGTGCTATAAAGGACAAGGATGGGGCATAAAGCGGCTATCCCTTTGTCTATCGATACTGCCCACCCTATAGACGCCTTCCCGGGCCACTCGAACACCCCCCTCACTCGAACAGTTAACTTAAAAAAGAAAATATCTGCGCTGTAACCGGTTTCTGTACCTCTTGAATTGGGCTTCTCCACCAATAAGCATCAACTGTTCGAGTGAGGGGGGTGTTCGAATGGCCCGGGAAGGCGTCTAACAGAGAAAACATGTACGGGAGATCTGTTACTTGATACAGAGGTAACGAGATCTATTAGTACAGTCTTTGACGGTCGCTTGACGAATACCGTCGCTCGACGAACAGGGGTAGGCGAATATCAAGTGGCCGGCCAAGACAATGTATGGAAGAGTGAAGAACCACGAAGAACTTTGTTGTTAGTATATTAATGGAGTTTGACGATGGCCAGAGTAGTTCTGTAGTGACAGTGAAAGTGAAAATAATGATGGAGCTCCCTTTGAACCCTGAACTTCCCGTTGTTGACCACAGCCGCCGCTACAGCAAATATGAGTGTTTGATGTTCGCACTCAGTCACTACTATGCAGAGTTACGCGAGGGGAAGACCCCAGTAGTCTCGCGTATAGCGAAACTCTACGGGGTTTCTGAAGCAACTCTTCGGCGTCATATTAAAAAGCCTAACCACAAAACTCTCGAAGAAATTCACCAAGATCAACAGCTTTTGACACCAGCGGAGGAGGAGGCTTTGGTGGAGAGACTTTTATTTCTTGATGACTTTTGTGTTCCAGCCGACCGAACACTCTTCTACAGTTTAGCCAATAACCTATTGCGTCGCCGCAAAACCACAAACCCTGATGAAACCCTACCAACTCTAGGAAAAAACTGGATCTACCGTTTTCTCGGCAGACACCCAGAATGCCCATACGTTCTTACAAAAACTATTGGTACCAACAGGGCAAATGCATATAGTTGGGACGTAATGGATGATTTTTTTTGGAAGGTATTCTCTCCGTTTAAATTAAGTCTGTCATGATATTTGAGTTACATGTTCAAGTTAACATGGTTGATATACGAGTAGCTACGGAAAGCAATAGAAAAGTATGAAATTGGGCCGAAAAATACATATAATCTAGATGAAAAGGGATTTATTATGGGTATCGGAGACATTACAAAAGAAATTTGTCGGAACGTACGCAAAGACCACGTTTTAAAGAGCATCGGGTACGAGAAACTTGTACAGTAATAGAAACGGTAGCTCCGGATGCATTTTTTGTCACACCTTTAATTATTTTCAAAGGGTTAAGTCATCTCGCGGGCTGGTATAAAGAGAGTTCAGACAATCATAATTTCTGATTTGGGTATTCAAAGAAAGGATACAACAATAGTAAGCTCTGTTTAGAGTATATTGTTAAAATATTTGAACCCGAAACTGCTCACAGGCAAGTAGAAACTATCTCTAAACTTGAAAATTTCAACTAATTATAATAGATCGTATGGTGAATGGCGGTTGCTGATCTTTGATGGCTTTGAATCACACCTCAATGTTGAGTTGATTGAGTTCTGCCTTCAGAAAAAGATTTTACCCTTTTGCCTTCCAGCGCATACATCTCACGTCTTGCAACCGCTAGATTTGGGTGTATTTTCCACTATGCAAAAGTACTATTCGCAAGAAGTACTAAACCTAAGGGTAGCGATAGACAAAAGTAAATTTCCGGAAATCTTTGCAAAAGCGCATGAAAAGGCATTTACTGCAAGTAATATTGCAGCAGGTTTTCGCCGCACCGGAATTTCACCTTATGAACCCACTCAAGTCCTATTCAATATTCCACTCCCTGACCCTAGATTGAATGAGCGAGAAAATCATCCACCACCTACACCACCACCTGTCAGGTCAACTCACCAGCTCCTAACGCACCCTATTATTGTCCCTACTACACCCCGCTCTATACACAATTACTATGTAGAGTGTATTTCCACAATCCTATCTAGTAGTCCCCGCTCCAGATTCCAGCGCGCCTTATTCACAGGGTTCAAGATGAGCGCCGAGAAATGCGTTGCCAAAGCAGCCTTGCATGAAGCGGGCGAGGAGTACTTGAGGGAGCAGATCAAGCAGCACATAGAAAAAGCAAAGCCAGATAAGCGGTGCCTTAATACCAATGAGGCCTGTGTAATTGAGAATGTAGATGTATTAGTACAGTTAAAGCGGAAAAGGAATGAGTTGGATACCCAAAAAGCGGGAAAAAGGGCTAGAAGTTCACAAGCAGGGAGTTCACTTGAAGTCTGATTTAATTTTCTTGGCTTTCTGTATATAGTATAACTACCTACTATATTTAGTATTCGTCGAGCGACGGTATTCGTCAAGCGACCGTCAAAGACTATATATGTTCTTGAATGAACCAGAGCAACATCAGCACTCTTCACGCGAAATAATCTTATACATATGTAGACTAAATCCATTTCCGGATAGATGAAGAAATAGAAAATGAACTTCTTGATTGATCTGGTTGTTATCGTGCAAATAGGAACCCTATATGTCCGCCGTTGCAATTAGCGATCGAGCACAACAAGCATCCCTTCGACTGTTTTCAAGACTTGTGGCAATTCGTGGCTCACCATTCAAAATCCACTGCCCAGCTAGAAGGAGCTGTCGGTGGTTCAAAATTGACCCCATTCGTCATGCAAAAATCCTCAATCGAGTAGTACTTTAAACAATCGTCGTTAGATCTTGGTTGATCACAGTGCCGTATCAAAGCTAAGAGGTCACGAAGACCGGGAACAGACGAAGGGATGTACTCTAAAAGTACTCTATGTAAGTAGTCGAGAGCTGTCATTTTCACACTAGCTTTCTTGTGATTCAGCTGGTTTGTTCTACTCTAAAATTCACTTATTTCTGGGTTACCAAATCGACCAACTGCCAGTCTGTTCTCGAGACTTGTACCCAAGGTATAGATATACAACTACTCCTTAGAGTTGTAGAGTGTTACATTTATTTCAAGACAGGTCCCCATAAAATGTCTAAAAGGTCACGGGAACCTTTGTCAACATACAATATACAACCCTACTAAGAATCACTAAATCATTGAGACTCTGAACTAGTATATTACCGAGTAACCTATACCTAAGTCATTTTTGGCAAACCTCAAGATATCTATGACCAATTGCCGGACCACGAGCTTGATAGGAGATTGTATTCCAGTAATGGCGATTGCATAAATAGAAACAGAAGAAGAACAGTCCATAGTACGAAAGCAATAAAAGAAAACCATTGAATGACGAGTACGTGTGCGCCCTTCGACCGTAGCCAGACCTCTGATCCCTGCCCGATAGCTGCTGCTGCCAGGGCTCCGAGATGGTGTTTAGGCGCAAAAAAAGAAACAAAAGAAAAGGATAGGAGCGGGTAGGTGGGTAAATTTAGTAAAAGCACGACGCTTGAAACAACGGGGGATGACCTCCCATATATATACTATCCTCTCAAGATGCGCTCCCCATGCAATTAATGAATTAAACTAAAAAAAAAAAAAAAAGATGCGCTCCCCTCTGGCCCCACCATCCGCCCCACATACAGGATTTGCTACGGGTCCTCAATTGGCACCAGGAAACCATTCCCTGCATTTTAGCCATCTTTCGCTCTCCAATTGACGCCCATCTCTTGCAGTTCCAGAGTGATACCGCTTCAAGACACATACCTTCCCATAAAATATTTACTCCCGTCGCAAGGTCACGGGAACCTTTACAACCAGAGAATTTAAATCCTCTTCATACTGTACAACCTGTACTACCGAGAATGCCTAACTTCGCCAGCTGTTTGACTACCAACGTTTACCAACCTGAACAAGCTTATCCAGATGGTATCATACATGGATTTTCTCGTTGCTGCGAGCCAGACTGGAGCCCGGAGTACCTTGGCGCCAAGGTTCATGCACCACGAACCCAATCAGAAGAAGGCCGCCAGGTGCCAAATGTTCACACCCGGTTATGCGGCCGGAGCCTGTTTAGACCTTTCATCAGCTTAACTGTACCAGCCAGCTATTGTCTACCAACGCTCAATCTCTCAGGAACAATTGATTTTGTTCTAGTTTATAGTAAACCACTGTAAACCCTAGATAACAGCCATTGATGTCAAAAGAGGTTTTATACACGTACCTACATATTTACTTTTGCTAAAAATATATTTGATGCATGGCGCAGGCAACGTATATTATCTGGAGGACTCAATGTTCTATTTGCTCCTACATTTATTTTATGTATCATGTAATATAGACAGGATCCAATGAAGATTTGCCCGTTGCATTTCTCCTTCATGATATTACATACATCCATACAACTTATTCCATTTTTTTACGGATCGGCTTCAGCATACAAGCTTCGTCTGCATGTTCACAGATCTCTTCCAGACTTCAAACACACAGGTCTATTTAGACCAGCTTGCCCATCAACGAGCGCTGCCCATCAGCGAGCGTCCACCAAACTTGGTGGGTGGCAACCGTTGCATCTTGGGGGTAGCGGGCAAAATAGCGGGCAACGCTCGCTGATGGGCAAGCTGGTCTATGTAATCTTAGAGCTAGATTGCGCCATTATCTTCTGTGGTATCGGTCGCTCCGGCATCGACGCTCTTTTACCCCGCACAGGGCCGGGAGCCGTCGGGCTACTCCGAGATCCAATAATTATGTACCTGAAATCTGAGATGTTCCTGGATATCATTACTGCTTTTATACTTGGCCGCGTAAATCGCCTCCCTGTCCAACCACAACCCCGCAAAAAGCCATTTGTTACACTGGCTGATCCCGTATTCGTTCTGCGTCTATGAAATATGCTATGTACTCATTCTCAGGGTCCTGCAGATTACTGATCTCGGATTTCGGCGACTCATACGCCCTATATATAGTCTTGCTCCCCCACCTCAAAACCAAATGGACTCCCACATCACTTCTCTTCCATTGTCAAGAATGCGTTGCTCACTCGGGAGGTGTGGCCCGGGCAGCCACGAACCAGGAACAGCGCCAGCACTGGCCATAGATTCGACATCCAAGGCGCTCAATGCCGCGGCATCAGTACCAACACCGACGTGGGATTCTGATATATCAAAGCTCTTTAGCGCTCCCTACTGGCTTCCGGAGTCATCTCGCTATATTGTTGGGTCCGGTTGGATCAATGCCATGAAGAATTATGGTCCTTGGGACCTTTCTTCCTACACCACCGTAAAGGATGAGACCCCGAAGATCTACCAGCACCTACGCTCCAGATCAATGCCCTTAACCGATGATCCTAGTCACTACTTTCCAGTCGAGGCTCTCGAGATGATCCGCAGCTGGGCGAACCAGGGTTATAGGAAGAATGATCAAGATGAGATTATACTTCAGAAAGTGATAGGGAAACCGGAGGAAAGCAAAGTAAAGTATAGAGTTCGGAAGGATATTAGGAGTCTGACGCAGGAGGAGCTGCAAACATATCGAGAGAAGCTTGACACGGTGCTGAACGCCGGGGATGCCAAGGGCAAGTGGCAGGAACTGGGGATTTTGCGTAAGTCGGATCTACCCTGGGCCCGAGTGCGTAATTAACCGATCCACAGATGCGAACTGGTGTCTACACTACCAGGAAGCCACGTTCCTCTGGCACAGAGCCTTCCTCTGCTACGTCGAAGAACTTATCGACTATCCCATTCCATACTGGAACGCTCTGTGTTCTGAAGCTACTGACCCAGCCTCCCCTTTCTCCGGCCTTCCTGCGGAGTTCCTCGAGGATACATATACGCACAGTAGTCTCGGCCTGCGCAAAAATCCTCTTAAGTACGCATTGCTATCTGGAGTCGTCTCAACCCCTCGATACGTTATGCGAGATCCTGTCCTTGTTTCCCGCACACCTGGGCTGGAGTGGGATAGGAAGATTTGTCTTTTCGGTTTGTATCAATCCCAGATCGAGCTCGCACTACGGCAGGACGTTTTCAGTCAGCCGATGGACGCCCTCCGCCCGTTTGGGAAACCTTGGGCGAATCTATCGATACTCACGGAGAACCTTGACGATAAGTTCTTTCCAAACCGCACGGACTTTGACGGATTACTAGAGCAGCCCCATGATAATATTCACGGATGGACAGGACCGGACATGGTGTGTGTGCCTAGCAAGCTCATATGGGGACATGCCCATAAGATAGAAAGGCACAAAGCTGACAACGAGAGACTGAAAGGCAGATGGCTCCCACACGGCGTTCGACCCTATTTTCCTCAGCTTCCACTCGAATATCGACCGCATCGTCGAGTTCTATATCCGATCTCGACCCGGGCTCACCTTCACCGCCACATACCCATTGCGGCCGTTCATCGATAACGCGAGGAACCTGGGCTACGATGAGTCGAGACAATGGATGTATACAACGATTGGTGACATGGTGAAGGACTCAAAGAGCCTTGGGTACGTTTTTGCACCACCGGCTTCGCCTGACCAGGTTTCTCTCACCAATCCCCCGAAGCAAACTGATATAGTTGTGCCGTCGGTGGTGTTCCGGGGCGTTGGCTGCAATGTGGTGAGCTACCATATCGACGTATTTACGCCAGATGCAACGTCACTGGTGCCAGATCCGGTGCGGAATCCGGACTATATAGGTAGAGATACAAGAATTGGGATGGGGAGGGGAAGTAAAGAGACGGGACTTCAGAATACAGATCGATGTGTGAAGAAGCCAGTGACGAGGACTTTGAATGCGGAGAGATGGGAGGTTGTTTTGAGAAAGGAAGGCGAGAAAGGATTGAGGCAGGTGGTTGTGGAGATGGAGACAGGAAGGGAGGTCCCGGAGAAGGAGTGGAGTGAGCTGAGTGGGTTCCGCGCGGAGATTAAATGGGGAAGGAGGCTGTGAGATAAACGCGAAATATACTCCGGAGTTCCCCCTTGTACCGAATGCTTGGATTTCGGAAAGACAGCTCCGATCACTGTACCTCTTATTATTGTTTGGGGCTCACCATCGTACGAATACATACATGTATACTGAAGTGGGATAGAGTTACATGTATATACATAGATATTATATTAGACCCCCTCTCCCAATCTCCGCGTTTAAGGACTCTCGATGAACGGGGATCCCCCGATCAAAGCTTATACCAAGGCCTGAAAGCAGTCGAGGAGTTGGAGGATCATTTTGAGCGTTGTTCAGGTTCACATTGCGGTCTTACCGCCATACATTGGGTGGGGTCACTAGGCCTTGGCGGTTTTGTTATCAGGTCCTAACTGAGAATATACACTGTACTGCGAAGGCAAGTTCTATGTCACGATTGGCTGTACATATTAATGGTTACAAAAAGCAAAACACTATTTTACTTAACGAAGAAAAGGAGAGAATGGAGATAATGTCTATTGCTAGGAAGCCCTTAGAGTGAAAGTATCTACACAGTAGAAAGCTTCTCTAATTCCTTGGCAAGGCTCTAATGCGTCTTCCTGGTAAGCAGTATAGTAGTTATCTATATAAGGATTCACCAACTGTCTCGTTTTTAGTTATTTCTGGCCTGAGAAGTCTATCCTTGGATCTCTTCCTTGGTATCAAAACATGGATATATTCTAGAAACCTCCGGCCACCCCCTCACATACCCCTCCCTACGTACAGTAAATTTTCTTTGGTGTGTAGAGATAAATAATTTGTTTGAGGCGGGTGGTCTACACAAAAAAGGATAAAATCGAGCTTTGTTTTAAATCTCTATTTATTTATCCAGATGTGCAGATATCTTTGTACTTTATCAACTGGTAAATACCTTTCCGGAATTCCCACATGTATGTTTATTTACCCCTTGGCAGCGGTAACTGGTTGTTTCCAGGTGAGTGAGCTAGTGATCAAACATAGCGCTGGCTGAAGTCTTTTGCATCTCCACTGATTTTGCACTTAGTTAAATTTGAGAAAAGATTAATTTACATCCGAATATATATTAGTATCTCGGTGTTTGCAACTGGGGCAACAAACACTCCCCTTCCACAGCTAAAGGACCCCTCTTCAACAAGTGCTTCAAGCCAAAAAAGGACAAAGATAAAGAAAAATCCACGAAATTTTCCTCTGTTAACCAAACCAAATTTAAACCGTATATTCCAAACAGAACTACCTTTTAATTTATCTCCACACATTTCTCAACTTACATCAGCAATGAGCCACTGGTAACAGCTCCCAATATTGTGGATTAGATCTTTAACATCAGCAAAAAATGAAGTTTTGTCCTGTGACGCCTAGGCGCCCCAGATGCCCCAGACGCTCCAGATGATACAAAGCGATTTCTTACCTGCCTACCGACACCTGGGTGCCCCGCAACGAGAGCTTTGAGTCCCTTTGTCAAGCAACATCGTCGGTAGAGAAAGTATGTAGGAGAAGTAAAGTATTTGATCGTGTTAATTGTTCTAGCTAAGGGGGAATGTCCCATATTTTTATTAATAAAAGGTAATACAAAAGAAATACAATGAGTAGCGGATGTGTGAGTAATGGAATGACTAATAGGGAAGTTTCATGGATCGGTTGATGGGGTCGTTAGGTTACGCGGAGTTGGATTATTAATGAGGGTTCTGTGGGATTCTATGGGTTTCTGTTCGGTTGTGTTTTGTGAGTCATTCAGGATTAGTCATCGCAGGATTCTCTTGGGTATATTAGAGGGCTCTCCCTCGCTTCATTCATGTTTTCTTTCTCTTTTTCTTTCCTTACGCAACATCTTCTTGCATACAATAAATACAACTTTATTTCTCCCTCTTATCAGGGACCGCTGCACCTTGTTTGATTAACCCGACAGCCACTAGTGTCGCCTCCCGTACCCTGCCGAATACCCCTCATCGCCGCCCATTAAGACTTGGGAGCACTCGCTGAAGCCATACACGCAATCACGATGATTACCGGGAGAAAGTAAAGCTATTCAGAGAGAACCCGGGAAACCTGGTACCGGTAGAATACCTTGTCCCGAAATCAGTAAAGACACTCTTCAATACTTTCTGGAGTATGCCGAGAGTTAATCCATACAATCTCAACAAACTGGACATTCTGTACAATATCTACCTAGGGATGTTGAAGCAAATGATGGAGTGAGTTCAGGCTTTCTTGAAGGAGCACAATCGATTGGAGGAATTTGATAAGCCTTGGGCCTCGATTGCGCCTTATCATGAACTGGCTGTATCGAATAAAGCATATTGTGCCACAACTCAATAGCAAGTGAAGGAGATGAGAAATCTGGGGTGAGTTGTTCTTGAAGGACTCGCGGCTGCCTTGAGAAACCCAGGGGAGGCTGTCAGGGGCGACTTGGAAAAGCCATTGAAATGTATACGAGGCTTAATCTATTTCCACTTCATAGTGCAGTATGGGAGTCATAGAACGAGCACACTGAATTATAAGGAGAGTTATCTCGAGGATTACCATAAGCACAACAATATCTTTTTAGAATCCCAGACGTACAAGAGGACGGTTGAGGATTTGAGAGATCGGATAAAAGCTTTAAAGTCCTCAGACTCCCAGAGCGCTCAGCGAAGTCTGTAGGAGTTTTGCGAGATACGGGAAAGGTCTCACTTCAACTCCATCAAATTGCACGTATTGACGCACTATCAGGAACATTTCGAACAGTTTGGGGACAGTCCCCAGTACTCTACAGACATTGGCAAACTCACCCATTTACGTCAGATAAAAGAGGTATACGGAGCATCCAACAAGGTCAATGCTGCAACGCAAATACTGGACTATGGGGGGTGGCAGTTGGCGTTAGAGATATCGAATGCTGCATCTGAAAGACATTGATGGAGGTCCTGAGAGCACTGACAACGTCCTTTGAAGCCCTCGAGATAACCTGAAGGAGTTACTTGGGATTTTTAAAATCGAAGACCGGAAAAAAACACCAAATGAACGATTCACGTTAGAAGGCCGACTCCCTCCAAAATGTCTCTGAAACCCCTGAATGAAATCGGAAAGACTTTTCAGTATTGCAGATTTACTGCAAATAAGCCATACCACATTATATCACCTGATAAAGGAGTATGCAGAGGATATGAGATGCTCTCAAAGCTTTGCTGGAAGCTCTGAGAGCATTTTAGAGTGCCGGGTGGAGATGGTCACATGTTTGCAGGTTCCGATACCAATCTTACGAAGACCTGAGGTGTACAAGGTTCACAATCTCAGGTGTATGGGAAATTCGCCCTTTAGAAAATTGAAAATAAGACAGGATTGGGATAGGTGTCAGTAGCATCCTCAGAGGAGCGGGGATTGTTTCGAGGACGCTAAGCAGGATGTGTGGAGGTTTTGTTCAAGCTGCAGGGCAGTGGAGGGTGAGCACATAGACTATGTATAGTGGAACTACTCGAGGCAAAGAATCGTGGTATTGCTGATAGCTCACATGTGCTGCTGAAACTTTGTAGGACTAAGAGGAAGTGGATGGGGCTCGTTAATATTCGGAGTATACTGAGAATGGCTCATTTGTTTGAGGTGGCCTGATAATTGGTTGGTAAATACCAGGATAAACTTGCGTACATGGAATGAATTTAGTTGAATACTTGTAAAAACATAAGATCATTCTTGAGTGTTCTAGGAACGTTGGACCCAATTGGACTCTCTAATTCAAAATTTGTGTCATTCTGCTTTGCATGTGGATTGGAAGAAGGAGGCAAAGTTTTGGCCGCTCAGTATCTGAGTCTGGCTATCTGGCAAGCCCTCTGCAAAAGGGCAATGCCAGTCCATGTTTGCTGCTTATGCATAGACATTGAGCTGTTCAGACGAGCAGTACCACAGCCTCAACCTCAAAGCTAATTATGCCTTTCATGAATCGACAGAAACTTACACTTCTGTTAATGGTTGAGTAGTCATCAACAGTATACGGAACAGTGCTCGTACTAGTATCCCGCGACTGAGTTTACAAAGGTATTGAGGATACCAACGTTAAATATATTTTGAGAAACTGGTGCAGTCTTCCTATCCTACGACTGACCATACAGGGGCATGGAGGATACCCATTTTAGATATCTTTTGAGGGACTGATGCGGACTTCCTATTCTTTGAGGACGGTGTATCAGTCTAAAGGAGGCAAAGTGAGGGTTGCCTCACCTTGAGTGAGTATGATGAATGCTTCAGCTCTGTGAGCATCGACGAGTACTCTGAAAGCACTCGCAGAAGCACTCGCAGAAGCACTCACGGAAGCACTCGCAGCAGCTTTGGCGGAAGCATCCGCGATAGCATTCACGGGAGCATTCGCAGTACCATGAGAAAAGTCATCGTGCTGTAAGAGCATTGGGAAGTGTTCGCGTATACTACTGGCGTAATCAAAAGAAGCAAAGATTTCATAGGTGCTGTTGGCGGGGTCACTCCATCCTAGTGTTTCCGGAGGAAGAGCGAATTTCATTGCGATACAGGCGACTATATCATTGTCAAGTGTCCTCCGGACATGAGCCATATCTCCTGACAGTCTCAGAAATATGGCCGGTCCTGTAGCGGAGCCCCGCGCAAAAATTCTATTCTGGGGTGCCGGATGTGCTGAGTGCCCAACGTGCAGAATGCCCGACAGGATGGAGGGGCTGCACCCTGGGTAATAAGTGAGCTTGCTGATATCTGATTGGTAGAAGCTTAATCAACGGAGTTGTAATACACTTTAAACCACTTGACCAGAGCATCTCCTTCCATCAGGTTGCTGGCATAATGGATCCCAACCTTTCCCGAGGTAAAGGATTGGCCTTCAATGGAGAAAACATCCCCAGATTACCGGATGAAGGTCTCCACATTGTCTGCCTTGCCATTGAACTTGGCTGGAGGGGGTGCTTTGGGCTCTCAGGCTCTAGAGATAGAGGAAGGTTGTGGGGGACCCGGATGCCTCATGAACTGGGCTATGGAGACGAAAAGCTGTCTCTGCTGCTTCTCTAGCATCTTTCTGAAGTATCTCCACCAATCTCTCCAAACTCCATTTTCCGGTTCCAAATCTGAACTGTCCCAGTGTTATAGGAACTACGGAACACTGTTCTAAAGACTTAAGACGGTGAGGAATACGAGTGACGGGTTGTGATGCGAGGACGGTCGGGTAACGAAAGGACAAGCATAGAAAGGTATCGGGTAGTGTGGGGGCACGCGGTGTTACCACACTAGTGTTATACTATTATGACGGCACGCTTACTATTGGGTGTCTCACCCGGAATAGAATAGGAAGCGGGGCTTACGGCTGTAGGCTGTTCTACTTAGGGAAGTTTTCACGGATCGGTTGGTGGAGTCGTTGGGTTACGCGGAGTTGGATTAGTCAGGAGGTTTCTATCGTGTTCTTTGAATTTCCGTTCGGCTGCGCGGTGTGAGTCATTGGGATTAGTCATCGCAGGATTTCCTTGGGTATAATAAGGGGGCTCTCCCTCGCTTCGTTCCTGTTTTCCTTTCTCTTCTCCTTTCCTTACGCAACGTCTTCTGTACTCCTCGCAACACCAAAACTTTCGAACAAACAACAACTTTTGGCCTGCATCCCCGATAAAACTTTTACTCGAACACGATCCTGTATGTCAATAGACCGCGTAATCTATTGGTATCTTATCGCACATCTGTTCGTACGCGAAGTTATTCACGCTCTAGTCCCTGAGTTGTGATCTCCTCACCCCTCAACCCTCGCTTAAGCCTCGCGACCGTAGCGAAAAACAACAACCTGGCCTCACCAAGCCCACCCAAGCCACCAAACATCGCGGGCAGAAAGAGGACTCTATCAGAAGTCTTTCCTAACCCAATCCGATCCGGAACATCAGTGATGTCCCAGCAAGCCTCGTTGAGCTCCTGGTTCGCAGGGGCCCCCCCTCCAGGAACCCCGGCACCCCCCCGCTTCCCCGACACCCAATCGACCCAACAGACACAATCCACCACAGTAGAACAGACCCAACTCGGAAACGAACCTTTCTCCATCTTCGCCGAACATACCCAATACAACGAACCATACGCCCCAAAATACGACTACATCCACCCCAGCATTGTTCCCGAAGAAACCCACGCCAGAATGGACTTGAACTACATGTCTTGGGTGGTTAGAAATGCGCTCACCATAGCACTCGAACCCCTCAACCAAACGACCGAACAAATCAACAGGGACCTAAAAGCCACCATTGAAGTCCTATCCACCCAAAACGATTCCCTCAAGCACACCGTCGACGTCCTGGCCAAACAAATGTTTGAAATGACAAAAAACCAGGACAAAACATCGGAAAAACTCCACCGCCTCCAACAACAGCTCACCAACCTCTCTGTCAACAGGCGCAGCAACCAAGCAATCACTGAAGGAAGAACCTCCGCAATTGCCGCCGTCGCTGCCGCCACCACCACCACCCCCACCACACCCGCCAACAACCCCAATCACCCCAAACATGCCCAACAGCCAAAAGGGAAAGCTAAGGAAACACTGGCTCCACCGGCACCAAAATACTACGCGTCCGCTGCGTCAGGAAACACAAACCCCGAATTCACGACTGTCACGAACAAGAGGAAAACCAAACCCAAAGCAGACCCCCTGTTCAAACCGGAAATCACCAAACTCAACCGGGAAATCGTGATCGAAACCAATAAGGAACTCCTAGTCACTCCATCGGACATCAGAGCCAAGATCAATGCAAAAATCCAGGACCCCGATTGCCAACTAATCGCCGCCCGGAAAACAACCAAGAACAACATAATCCTGGAATCAAAGTTCGCAACCCCAGCAACAAAGGTCCTTGAATACAAAAAGGAAATCGAAACTGCCTTGAACGAACTAAAGGTACCCTTCGTCGACATCCGAATCAACTCCAGATGGTCAAAATTCATCCTCCATGGCATTCCCACCTCCATAGGCGAAGCCTTCGACGCAGGACAATGTCTAGCATCGGAAATTAGAAAAAACTACGGCAACACGTTTGAACTGGCACAAATCCCGAGATGGCTATCAAAACCAGAAGCCCGAATCGGAAAGTCACACTCTTCCATGATCATCGCCCTCCCTGGACAATTCACCAAAGAAAACCTCGGCCTCCGATACCTCACCCTCTTCGACAGGAACTGCAAAATCGACAGTTACCTCCCAGCAAACCCAGAGACCCAGTGTGCCAAATGCCTTGAATACGGCCATAGACAGGAACGCTGCTCCAACAGCGGAAGATGCGGACACTGCGCCGAGGAACACCAAACCAAAAACCACCCATGTACAGAATGCGCCGGAGGCCTCAGATGCTCACACACACCTATCCGATGCTATCACTGCAAGGCCCCCCACAAAGCAACAGACGCCAACTGCCCAGAACGAACCAAAGTCCGAATCACAAACAGACTCGGACCAGACACAAACCCAAGCCCGCTACCAATTCCCGTAGTTATCCCGGCACAAGACCCCCCACAAGAAGACGCAGCCATGGATAACACCCAATGAGTCACACCAAAAGAACCACGGCTATCGCACAGCAACTGAACTGTGCGAAAAACGAGCTCACAACAAAGTCAGTAGTGGAGGAAGCAGAACAAGACCACAACATACTTTTTCTTTTGTTACAGGAACCATGGAACAATAAGGACGGCCACCCACTGGAATCCCCCCTTTTCTATCTATTCACAGCCAGCAACAAGGGCACTAAAGCCGCCACATACATCAGAAAACACGCCAACTTAAAACCAAAACACCACTACACGCACAACAACTTCATCGTCTCCGTCACAGTGGAAATCCAAAACCAAAAAACACAAATCCTCAACATATACTCACCAGGGCGGAGCGGACCCTTCGCAGAAATATCCCGACAAATAACCACCATCCAAAACTGTCTCGTCATGGGAGACTTCAACAGCCACCACCAATTATGGTATGGGCATAGATCCCATGACTACACCAATACAATCAGAGCAGATAAACCCGGATCCAAGAAAATAAAAAGATGGATTGATCGACAAAAGCTATCCTTACTCAATGAACCAGGCGAATTCACACACTTCCCCAGAAATAATAACAGATCGACTATCATCGATCTGACACTAGTCAAAGGACCAATCCTGGACCATGACGTCCGCTGGAACATCGACCGACATGGAGCAGGATCCGACCACGGGAAAACCATCCTACAACTACGAATAGAGAAGCCCCCTCACATCCCCAGGAGACTATGGCACCGAACGAATTGGGAAAAATTGGAAGAAAATATCTCAGGCCTCCACTTTCCCCCAGAAGCATGGGAAAGCCAGAACCACACAAAGCAATCAGTTGACTTCATACTTGAACATATAGACAACTTGATAGACCGAATAACCCCATGGAGCCAAGGACACCCTAAATCTAAGAAATGGTGGACCCCAGAGCTGAAGGAAATTAAATCAACCCTCCACACACTAGAAAGGAAAGCCAGAAACACCCAAAAGGACGAAGACAGGGAATCTTTCAGGAAGACCAGCAGGAAATGGACGGCAGCAATCCGAAAAGCCAAGGCAGAACAAAGGGAAAAAGAACTCATGGAAGCCAAGGGTAGCGCCATTTGGAAACTAATCAACACGGGGAAAAGAAGGGACTCTACAATCCCAATTATACAAGGTGAAGAAACGTTTGCGGGGAAGTGCCAAGCTCTAAGAGCCCAACTCTTCCCCACAAATTGGACGTCCCCCAAAAACCCCCCACTCCAAATCAGACCCCCCTCTTTTGACCTTAGTGACGATTTCCAGGAAGTAACAACAGAAGAAATTACATCCGCAATCAGATCATGCCCGACACACTCGGCCACCGTCCCCGATAACATCCCATACCCGTTTATACAGGCAACAATCAAGGCAAACACCCAACTCTTCCAAGACATGTTCTCGGCCATGCTCCGACATGGAGTCCAGCCGGATCGATGGAAAGTGGCAAAATGCATTCCGATCCCAAAACCAGGAAAATCCGATTATTCGTCAGCCAAAGCCTACCGACCCATCTCCCTATTACAATGCTTCAGCAAAGTACTGGAAAAGATAGTGGCAACAAGACTATGCACCGCCGGATCCATCCTGGAGACCCTCAGCAAAGACCAGTTCGGAGGAAGACCAACAATTTCAGCGATCGATGCCCTACTACGGACCCTCACGCCCATACAACAAAACCTCCTAATCAAACGAACCACAGGAACCACCCCAGACAGACCAGCCCTTCTCACAAACGATATACAGGGAGCCTTCAATTGCGTCAACCACCTCCTACTCGCAGAAATCATGACCCAACAAAAATTCCCGACCTACCTAACCAACTGGTGCAAGGAATTCAACACCAACCGAACACTCCAATTCCAATTTAACCACGAACTGGAACCACCACAACCATATGCCTCAGGACTACCTCAAGGCTCCCCCCTCTCCCCAGTATTATTTATGATATATGCCGGGGTGATAACAGACGCCACCAAC